CAAGACAAAAATAACAGTTTGTCTCATATATATTTTTACTCCCATCACTCAATCGTACCACTAACTTTTCCTGGAGCCATTTATATCTCCTACTTATTTTTCACTTCATCATCATTGATGTTTTACCCTAAAATAACCTTATATTAACCTTGCACAGTATCTCAAAATGTTGGGGGTAATGCTTATATCAGGAGATTCAGATTCAACAATACAAATTTTGCGTACATAAGCAAATGTGCTTATGTACGCAAAATTTGTATAGTCAATCCCATTTTTTCATTATGATGTTCGTTATCATTTTTTAATAATTATGAAAAATAAGAATGTTTTCATAAAAAGTAAAAATTTTTATTTATCAGAAATTAATTGTTGAATTTCTTTAAAGAAACGGAAAGTTTCATTTTTTAATAACTTAATTTACAAAACCAATTAGAAAGAAAACATTAATTGGAGACTGGAATTCAGTACACTGATCTCTTCTCAAGATAAGGACTGGGCAATGTAAGAAATTTTACATCATGATAATAATAAATTTAGTCTGTTAGACATCGCGATTTAGTAAATTTTCAAAAATTAGCTATCAGAAATCTTTTAATTAATCAAAAATAAATAAAAGGAATAAATCTATTACAAAACAAAATGTCTTAAGTAAAAACAAACCCAAGCTTTATTTTTTAATTATAGAAATTTTATATATAATATTAATTTATGTATAATATACATTTTTTAATGATATAATATAAATTATTTTTTAAAATTAAAAATGACCTAAGATTTATTGTTTTAAAAATAAAACTAACAAAATATTTTACATACATGCATTAAAAATTAAAAGAAAAAAATATGAAAGTAAAAAAAACAAACTAAAGAAATGTTCACTTTGGTAAAACATTTTTAAAATTATTTGATGAAAAAAACTGATTTTGAACCATTGTTAGACCTTCCTTAATTTATTTATTTAAAATAATAAAGTTGCATTAACTAATGGTCTAATTCAATACACAATGAATGTAAAAATAAATTTAAGTTTTTTATTTATTTTTTATTGTTTTCTTTCCTGAAAATAAAATCTACTAAGGATTTATTTGTTTAGAAATGATACTGACTGTCTAACAAATTATGAAATAAACAAGTATTGAAAGAATTTTAAGAAAAATAAAAAAAACCTATTTAAGTACTATTGCTAAATTATTAAAAAGCGTCAAAACTTTAATGTCATTTTTAACTTAAACATGATATTTAAAATTATTTGTTTAAAAAAAAACGTGATTTTGAAGCATTGTTAGACCTTCTTTAATTTATTTATTTAAAATAATAAAGTTGTATTAACTAATGGTCTAATTCAATACATAATGAATGTAAAAATAAATTTAAGTTTTTTATTTATTTATTATTATCTTCTTTTTTGAAAGTAAAATCGACTGAGGATTTATTTGTTTAGAAATGATACTGACTGTTTAACAAATTATGAAACAATCAAGTATTGAAAGAATTTTAAGAAGAAAAAAAACTTTTAGGTACTATTGTTAAATTATTAAAAAGCGTCAAAACTCAAAACATTGCTAACTTTTTATTCAATTAAAAAATATTTGTTTTAACTAATAGCCAAATTTTTTTATAATTAAAAAACGACTTAAAGACTTGTTTAAAAATAATCAAATTCTATCAAATTATTATACTTACGTGCATTAAATAAATTTTAAAAATATTAACTTTTTATAACGAAGTTAAATACAAAATTAAATTGTATTGCTTAAAATAAAAAACAATATTTGAAAAAAAAAATGAAGAATCTTTTTTTTATTCATACTTTCTTTTCATCATCCTGCTCTTAAACGAAATAACCACGGCCCAAAGAATTTGCATCCTTCAATGTATACCAGCACACATCGACATCGATGGTAATGAGAAAGCTGATATCCTGGCCAAGGAGGTCCGAGATAACTCCCAACTTTCCAACAGCCAGCCGCAGACTACTTTCTGCTACCTCTCAGAAGCACTCAATCCCTGCCCTAAACTGTGATTGAGCCATTTCCGCAACCATAGCTATATTGAGGATTAAGCACTTCAAGGGAATGAAAATGTCTCTCGATGGCCATCGAAGCAACAGAAGTTGTCCTCACTGTATCCACACCAAACTCTCTCCTGACCATATCTTTGATTGCCCAGCCATATTGGCGAAGCTCTTCAGGATCCATCTGGATCCCCCGCAGCAACTCCTCTATTCCATAGAGATTATTGTGGCCAAAGCTGTTTTAGATACTTTTGGACAAATTTAATTTTCCTTGCACTACTGGACAAGACAACAACATTAATAGATTCAGTTCAGAACAAAGAACGGAAATTTAAGATAACAGCTATTGCGCAACGATTGTCATGCAACAGTAGGCAGGGGTGATTGTGAGCCCATGTCAAAATTCCGGAAAATTTCTTNAAAAAAAAAAAAAAAAAAAAAAAAAAAAAAAAAAAAAAAAAAAAAACAATTACAATTGAAAAACATTTAAACAAGGTTTTTTTTTCCTTTTTCTCAAAATTTCTTAGTTTGCTTAAAATATATTTAAACTTTTACACATACCTATACCATTTACACATACCTATGATGACCTGGAGAAGTAATTAAAATTTACAAATATGTCTTTCTTTCTTGAGTTTATGATTATAACAACTGTTTACTGCTAAAAAATGAATATTAATCACGAATATAAGTTTACGAAGAATCCCTCTGGCTCTCCCTTACGAACAAATAAAATAAACTGTGTTTTTAAGTTCCACCTTTGAAAATTTATTTCCAGAAACTTCTGTGATCTATGATCTTTTGAAACGTCTGGACCTTCGATCTCCAGAAACTTCCGGATCACTGTTAGCGAAAATTCCGGAAATCCGGATTTTTTCCGGAGCACAATCAGCCCTGAGTAGGTCTACTAAAAATAATTGACAAGAATCGTTAAATTCTGACAGAAAAAAAAAGTAACGAAATAATGCACAATGAAACGATCGCCACGTAGCCAAAGTCTCAAGGAAAATAATTAACAAGAAACAATAAATCCTGACAAAATAAAGTGCACAGCGATCACAAAATAACAAAAGTTCAGCTGAAAATCATCTACAAGAAAAGTAAACCTCCAAAGACAAAAATGGCACATAAAGAAACTGTGCATAGCATTCTATTTCAACGCTGATCCGCGCACGAAATAGGGACTTTTCACTTTTTGTTATTCAACATCACAAAACTAACATCGTCTTCGTAGCTAGACCGTATTAACAGCTCCGCAGTTAGACGAAACCAAAATAGTCTTTGTCAGCTCAGTGACAGCGTAGGCAAGGATTCTCACATGTTAAATCGTTAAACCGTGAGCGTTGTCTTATATGACGGCTTAAATAAGATTTCTGATGCATCGACTATAACGAAAGTCTTTATATCGGTCCGCTGATATATGCATTAAATCGATATTTCGCGATGCATCGATTTATACTGAAGAGTGGCAATCACGTATATATACATATATAGAGAGTAATTTTAAAAACTTTTGAGTAATTTTAAAAATATTGACTGCAGAGAAAAATAGAACTTAAACTTATTTTGTTTTATCATAAGTGATACTGCAAAATTGTCCTTGAGAGTGATAAATGTTCAGCAAACAACATGTATATACTTATCTAGCCTCAATAATTTGGAAATGCAACATTTCTGGGAATCAAGACCAATTTTTGGGAGCTAAAATATTTTGAATAAAAAATAATGCAACAGCTTTTAGTTCTTATGGTAAATTTTATGAAAATGTTAGATCCTAGCATACATTCCTTGAACTGCCTGAAAACTAGGATCTTTAAACCCTATCCAACAACTTAAACAATTTTATAACTCATTAGTTTTTCAGTTTAAATATAGATAATTAGAAGATAGTTCATCATCATATTTGTGCAGACAGCTCAATGTGGGCCAATGTCTTCCTCTGAAGATTTCTCCATAATGACTTCTGATTTACACTTGATCTTCAATTCCTTTCATTAATTGCAAAAGAAAATCAGGCTCGACCGAGTCGGCCCAGCTCAACCACGGCCTTCCCCGCTTTCTTGTTCAAGTGGGTCTAAAAAGCAGTATCTTCTTTATTGTATTGTTATATCACTCATTCATCCAATTCATTCCATTTATTTGTATGCGTATTTAATGATATTGGGTTGTTCATAAATCCTGAACAGTTCGAAGTCAAATCTCCTTTTCGAGTTATTGTTTTCATTTACACCACCAAGTATACTCTGCAAAATCTTTCTTTCAAATACTGCGATACAATTTTCTTCCAGTTTTGACATTGTCCAAGCTTCAGAAGCATATGTCAAGACTAGCTTGACAAGAGTTTCGTAGATTAAGAACTTTGTTTTTCTAGAAAGAAACCTAGATTTAATAAATCTTCTCAGCCCATAGACAGCCCTATTTGCCAGATAGAGTTGATTTTTTATTTCAGGAGTCATTACAAAAAATGGTTCACTAATAGTAATACTTATAACATCATGCTAATAGATTCTTATCAATAAAATGAATTATACAAAATTTAAAATAGACAAATTTGCAAAAAGTTTACTCAGTTCAATACATTGTAATAAAAGTTTATTAATTTTAAAAGAAACAAGAGTCTCTCTCAGAAACTTGAAAATGAAAATATTACCAACTTGTATGCTCATCATAGATTCTTATCAATAAAATGAATAATGCAAAAGTTAAAATAGACAAATTTGCAAAAAGTTTACTCAGTTCAATACATTGTAATAAAAGTTTATTAACTTTAAAAGAAACAAGAGTCCCTGGCAGAAACTTGAAAATGAAAATATTGCCTACTTATATGCTCATTATAGATTCTTATCAATAAAATGAATAATGCAAAATTTAAAATAGAGAAACTTGCAAAAAGTTTACTCAGTTCAATACATTGTAATAAAAGGTTATTAATTTTAAAAGAAACAAGACTCCCTCTCAGAAACTTGAAAATGAAAATATCGCCTACTTGTATGCTTCTCATGGCATATTCAAATCGGCTACAGAAACATGGATCCTTGATATCTTAGCGGTGCTATCTAGAAGATCTGAAGTTGATGTAAAAGCCTGCTTGAAAGTGACAGTACCACCTTTTCTTCAGTAATCCTGAAACACAAAACCATAGAAATGATCTTAAAACAAATAGAATAAAAATAACTTTCTGAAATTTTAAAACTGTAAGGGGCATCTATTGTTATTTTCTTATACTCTGATGAAAACATATTTTACCACGAAAATTTTGAAGATGTTTTTGCTTATTTTTTAATGCTAACAGGGCACGAAATTAACAGTAGCATGTTTGTGTGACATCGTTAATATTGCAAGCAGACCTAAAGAAAATAAATTATCCTTCCTTCCCTAGATTAGCAATCAATATAAAAACAATATGCCCTTTTCTGTTTTTTTGTGTGTCAGGCTTGTGGTTGTCACAAAATAGCATATTTTAAGATAATTTTGAATAGGTATGTAACGAATATTCGGTGGGCCGAATGTTTGGCTAAATATTCAGTTACGTATTTTCTTTAAAAAAAATTTTTTTTGGCTAAATTTTTCTTAAGAGTAATCTAATATTTTATTTTTAGCCATACATTAGTAGATTTTTTACACATATTTATTAAGCTCTAAAATTTGCAAATTTATATTCCGAAAGGCAAAAGTTAAATGTTACCAATTTAAAGTATTAATTAAATTAAATAATAATAAATTAAAGTATGACATCTATTTGTATAATTTAACTAGACCCGATAATAAACAAAAGGCAGAAAAAAAGTAGACAAACAAAACCATCAGCTAATGCCGAACAATCATGGTTACGATTACATGTTCTGTTTCGAGGATACGATTATCTAAATAGTTATTTAAGTTACTTTCATTAAATTTTACAGTTAGAGGCTTTTTCAAATGTAAGAAATAAGTTTAATACATATATATATTTTTATACCTAAGAAAAGTAATTTCCAGATTGTTTGTTTGTTTATTTATTTTTCATTATTAACTGTAGATGGCTCTTTCTGCGTAGTCGGCGTAAAATTCATTTTATGGTGGCGGAAAAAGATAAACATTGCTGAATAATTATACCTCACGTCATTATGATGGTTACTAATTGCTGGAAAATAATATACACGACTTTCGAAAATATTTATGAAAATTCTAGAACTTCTTTCATAATTTTTTAATTGAATTCTTTTTATAAAAATGGGGGTTTTGTTTTCTCGATTTCGAGTAAGTATGAAACTTATCTTAGCAATATTAGCTGTCATAAACTGGTACATTTACTACTGACACACAGACCTTGGAAATATAACACATTGTAAAATCCTCAGTGATTAACTTCAGTAAAATATCTGTATTTTCTTATTTCTTTACTAAAAAGACATTATTTTTTGCTGTGTCAAAGCAAAAACAATCAAAAATAAGTAAAATTTGCATGTTTGCTTACACACTTTCTTTTATAGATTTAAAGTTTATTTTTATAACGAAATAATGACCATCTTAATATATATTATATTTGTAACATCTTGTCTTATATCTATAAGCTGATCTTGTTTACAAATATATATAGTTATGCCCATCTGAAATAATTAAGCTAATACTTTTTACTTGACTAAAAAAAAAATGTATAGATTTTTTTCCCCTCTCATTATAATATTTAAATTTCTCTGATGAATACTAGACACAGTTTCTGATGACCTTACAAACACACCTGACACTCTGCCAAACTGCTTTGTAGAACTTAAGTAGTTTGGATTTATTCCAGGTCCTATCTTTAAATAACTGGTCTTCTGCCTTGAAATGATGGTCCTTGTTTATTTAAAAGATATATTACTACAGATTAAATAAATAAATTTCCTTCTGGATTATTGCATAAAATATATATTTGTACAAAAATAAAGAAAATTGTTTTACAAATTATGAAATGAAGAGAAAAAATAAACATGCATTTGAAAAGTGATAAGATAACTAAAAGTAATTATATAGATAAAGATTTTATTAGAAAAATAAATCGTTACATCAATTTTAATTAATTATATCCATGTCTATAAATATATATATGTGTGTGTATTGATATTTTAAGATATAATTATTTTATAATTGTTTTTTATACTATATATATAATATAAATTAAATCTTACCAGTATATTTGAATTGAAAATTTAAAATTCTGACAGTGTAAGCAGTTATTTAGTTTCGGAATCAGAGTGGCACCTAACTTAATTTTTACTCCTTGAGAAGGGGATAAGTACCGAAATAAAAAATAATATGGGTTATAAATTTATTGCTTTGCTGTAAAGATAAATTGTACACTGAAAGAAAATGCGTTAAAGATACTGTAGAGGAAAACAAAAATCTTTGTTAAGTTATGTTAATTCTTGTTCAGGTGCATGTGAAGGAGTTTCTCATTAAGAGAAATACTGCATGTAAATGCTAGTTTTTCTCTATATATTTCTAACTAGGACCTTTCGTTCAAATATTTCAATATATTGTTAATTACTTCTTATATAAATAGTCACCGCCACGGGTAAAATATTCGTCTACCATGGTTTCAGTCGTGGTTCGATTCCACTTGATAAAATGTGGATGTCTAATCAAACTGTATTTTTTCTTGTCGTATATTAATGGTTCAGATTCCTTTTTAACAAATTGTCTGTAGTGGTATCTGACCTATAAAAAAGCTTTAATGTCCCAAAGCTGAGAAATAATTTGCTATGTTTTCTACTCTATTTTTGAAAAATTTCTAGCCTACTGTGAATATTTTTCTGTATTTTTCCAGATATTTTCCTTTTTTAATTCTCGATAATGTTTCTTGAGACTCCGGATAAATAATTTTTTTTAAGTTATGTATTTTTACCATCAAGTAATTTTTTGGTGTAGTTATTTGTTTATCAAAATAAATAGCAAAATTTTAATGTTTTTTTTGTTTGTGTTTTAATAATATGTTTACATAATGTATTTGTTGAAACAAAATTTAAGTAATTAGTCTGTAGTGTATTGATTAATTATAAAAAAGTCATATTTTAAAGTGGTAAACTAAATGCAAAAGAAATTTAATTGATTTCATAATAAAAAATTTTTAAGAAATGACCAAAATTCTTCTGTTAAGTTATCTATTTAGCAAATAGTTTAAATTTAATTTATCACTTATTTAAATGGCTTTAAAATTTTCTTCTTCATGCTGGAGATTTTGTTGTAGCCTATTAGATCCTGCCAATGTTCCATGAATTAAGTAAAAATGTTCTGAAGGTTTTAGCAGAACACGGTTTCGGTATTTTTAAGGTTTTGCATACATACATTTTTATATCACAAAATTACGCAATTTATATACTGGAAAACGTGTATTTTAAGTAAAACTGATGTAGATAGAAAAAATTTGCTCTGCCTTTTTTATTGACTTCCGTATAAAGTTTGCAATACTTTGGCTAAGTTTTTTTTCTTCAGAATAATATTTATCAGATGCCTTTCTTGCGCATTGTAGTGGAAAAAAATACTTATGATTTTTCTATTCTCATTTGAGAATAATGAAAAATAAAGAGTAATGAAGTAAAACATTTGGTTTTCTTTTCTGCAGAAATATTTGTTCTATTTTTTTATGCAGTAATTACTACTGATTTCCACATAGATTTTAAAATTCTATATTTTTAATATTTTATTTATTACAACAACTGAATAGAACATGCATTTGAATAGAACATGCATTTAGGTTCGCCTGATTTTGCTGTCAGTCTTTTTTCCCCCGATAATAACAGCTGCGGATTTCAGAATTTTTTATTATTATTATTTTTTTAATGTGATGAGTATATACAAAATGGGAAAAAAGAAAAAATTATTCCGTTTCCCCTTTACAAAATGTGAGAACATCGCCCATAATATTAGAATAAAAATATATTGCATATTCAATTAAAAGATAGTTTTATTTTATCCAAAAGTTTTTTTTTTGTTTTAAAGTTGACGCTTTTGTTACTTTAAATTAGTAACATGTGTATTTGTTTTTATTAAAATCATCTAGCAGAAAGATATTAGTACTGGACAGGTATGTCGCAGAAAACCTGAAAAAATTCTGCCATAGGGGTTTTGATAAATTTAAGATTGAGTAAAAACAATCTTTAAAAACACAAATCTGTAAGATTAATTAAAACTAATATGTGTTTGGGTGCCACAAGATACACTTTCGTCAAGGGGATAAAATGGCCGCATCATCTCTATAAACTATTCATCACATTTTAACTTACTAATGAAGTTGTACTTTGTAACAATGAAGTACATGTAGGTTCATGTGTTTTTTAAGTACACGTGTTTTTTATTTTATGATTTTAAATGTTTTTTCTCATGCTTGTTTTTACTAAATTTTTTACTGTTAATACTTACTATAAAGTTTTTATAAGTCTTTATGTTTGTGATTTTCAGTGCACATCTTACAATATATAAAAAGCATAGAACATATTCAGGGGTCTGACCAGGCCAAATNTTTATTCTTATTCCTGTTAATCGTGAACAATTAATATTTGTATTTTTTACTTGCTTTTTTTATGTTCTTTTTTTTATATGAATAATAATTTGTATTATTTTTTTATTTTAGTCTAAAGCATCAACTAAAGATTTGCTGGATGATATCCAGAAAGTAAATGTTACTTTTACTAATTTGTATTTTGATTTGTTTTATTCATAATGCTATTTATCAATGAAAATATTTTTTGCTTGTTTAATTGTGTATCTTTGCTTTCAAGCTACTTTTAAGTATTCCCTAATTTTTGATTTAAACAAATGAATAATTGGTTATTTTTACTACAATAGCAAATCATTTTTAAGGTCATTTTCTGCAAATAAGGCTATTCTTGGTGGGTAATGAAAACAAGAAAAGAAATTATGTCAGTAATTTCTGAATTTTTGTTCAAAGGTTCTAGACAGAAAAACATATATCAAATATTAAAGAAATTCTAAAATTATTATACGTTTTTACTGAAATGAGTTTTAGCTAATAAGAATAGAAAAATATATTAACATGGTGCATAGCGTTTTTTAAAAAGTGCTTAAAGGTGCTTATTTTCTTTTTTCATTATTTAAAAGCCCTTTAAAGTGCTTTTTTCATTCCATGGTTTTAAAAACTGCTATATTTTCCCTCAACCAAAATAAGATTTTTTTTTCTTGGCCATGTCGATTTTCGCCACATTTTATGCAAAAGCGTGCTTTAAACTTTGTTCTATTCAACGTTTTCACAATTCATTCCACCGCAATCCATTTTGGTGTACCGTCGGTCCATAGTGTAAGCACCAATCATTTTATTTGTTTGGTGAAATACTTGCGAGTCTATATGTACAACTGCTGAGCTGGGTTCGGTGAGATTATTGCCCGCTCATGTGCAACTCCCTGCATTTTGCAAAATATTCTCAATTTTAGTCTTCCTTTTCCACTCTCTGATATCGAACCGAAAAATCTCTTGATCATTTTATAATGGCTAATATAATCAAGAAAAGAGTTCTTTGTCAGAAACTAGTTATTCTATCATGATCATTTAAAGTCTTTGAAAAATTATTTTGCATTTTGTTAATGTATATAGTGCTTAAAAATATTTTTGCGTGCTTAAAAAGTACTTAAAAGGTGCTTATTTTTTGTTGAAAGATTTGGCTACACATCCCGATTAAGAATAGTCGAATAATAATTTAAGTGAATATATTTAAGTACAAGTCAATTCGTTTGCTTTAAAATTAACAGAATGAAGCAAAAATATCTTTCTTATTAGTTTTTAAAAACATTAAAATCAGAATCAGTGATGAGATTCAAGTCATTTAAAAATCGGTAATATTAAAATATTTTCGGGTTTTTTTAGAAAAAAAAAGTAATTATTATCAAATTTAATAGGAATATAAAATAGGATAAATAAACATTTATTTTAAATTTAAACTAATTATTTTTAAATATTTCCTAATAACTTTTTGATTTTTCACTTGCTTCTTCTACTTTTTTGTTGTTCACTGTGCTTGAGTCTAAGTCTTTCAGAAGTAATCTCATTAAAGAAATTTTCATTATATTCTAAATGTTTTCTACAGTCAATCTATTTCTTTTGTTCCTACTAATAGAATTCATGAGGCTAACCTCTTTTATCTTTAACAGATCTTGCGATGACAGGTCTCAAAATATTCTTTGCCTTCTGAATACTCTTAGGAATTATATGACTATCCATGTTTCCAAAAATAGTTTCAATATAATCTCTATAGTCTGTTACTTGAAAATGTGAATAAAATGCAGAGTCAGTTGATCTTCCGCTTCTCTCTAAGTAACAACGACATCTTAAGTTTTCGAATATTTCGTTTCTGAATATTTTATGAAATCTAGCCGATCCTGATCAAACTTGTTATCTCACGTTAGGGAATAATTGGTATTGATATACATGGTTTTACAATTTTGAATTATGCTATTTAACATCTTTAACCTGTAGCAAGCACTTGAGTTTTGTGTTCTCAGTAGTGAAAAATTCAGATCAAAAGACCAAGCCTGTTTAAAATTTTTTTTTGGTTTGAATATTGTGAATCGAAAAAAAAAATGGTTTTCTCCCATTTTGCAGAAAAAAGTTATTTTGAGTTTAAGTTTAATTCCAAATAGTTGTTGATTTTAAATTAACAGTGCAGTATTTAAATGTTTACCTACAATTAGAGTTTTTGCAAAACTACCAATGTAAAATAAATTAATTTGAGTAAATTTAACATAAAAACATAAAGTCTTTTGAAACTGGTTAAAATAAAATTGAAAATCATTAATTCTATGTTCTGTTAGTATTTAAAATTAGTTAAATCAAGTAGGTAATTATTGAAAAATTTAAAGTTTCTCGAACATTATTTTTATATATTTGTTAAAGATACATAAAACTTGCTACACTCAAAAGTATACCAAGAATGAGATGCTTTTCTAAATTTTATTTTTTCAGTTCAATTTTAGATTTATTTTCTGTTAAGTAAACAAATTAGCATTGTATGTATGCAATATGGTATATTCATTATTGTAACATTTTTAAATTACAATTTTTATATACTATATTTAAAAAATAGTTTGAGAAATATTCAAGATTCATTTAAACTATTTTTAAAGCTTTTTTTTCTTAATAATGCAATATGCCAATAAGAACATTGTTATTTTAAAGCTCTATTATGTTAAAATAAATGACAAAAAGGTAGTTTATTCTTTGTTTTTCTACCATTGGAACTGAAACATACCTTTACTATTATTTGTGTGTTTATATTTATATAGCCCATTTATCAATTTTTATTATTTTCATCATTCTATTATTTTTAATATCTTAATTGAGAAAATTCATTGTCTTGAATATGTCATGCTCCTTTATATTAATATTTGTAACAATAAAAAATTAATACAGTAAGTAATGTAAATACTGCTAAAATAGAAAATTTTTAAACACACTAACTATCAAGGAGGAAACTTCTTTTTCGCATACACTTCTAAAATAAAATTATATATTAAATGCTTATTTCAGTGTTAAATGGAGTTGTAAAGTAATAAATAAACTTACTTAAAATCTTTAGTTATTATACTGTTTTATTATATGTGCCTATGCCTATTTATGGAAAAGTGAATATTTTTAGTCAAATATCAATAGTTAAAAAAGATGTATGTTAAATACTTTTCAAAAGTTTAGTTGCTTTTAATTTGCGGCTTAAAATAAAATCTAACCTTTTGTTTTAAGTTAACCTTGTAATAAAAATCCTAGTTTAAACCACAAAAATCTTGGTTTATACCAAAAAAATTTTTTTTCTGACCCTGAATTTCAGTTTTGATAGTTAAAGGAGGGTCCTATCCACCTCAAATTATCAAAATTCTATTGCAATACTGTAGTTTATAAGTTTTGTTGCCCATCTTAGTAAATAATTAAGAATGATTTTCTTTTTCTTTCAGGAAATTGATTCTCTTTTGGAATACAAACACAGCACGGAACTACAGCAAAAAACACTGATACGATCTTTAGTTTTTTATTCAGTACTATTTTATATTATAATTGCGGGTTTTTTCCTGTTTTATTCATACCCAATCACTACAAAAGATAAACTAGTTTATGCCATTCCTTTTCTCATATTCCCAATTCTGTAAGTAAATTTTAACATTATGATTTCTATTTACTTGTATGTTTTATGAATATTTATTAAGACTTTTTAAAATGTTTTCTGCTGAAATATACTATACCATGTGTTTAGGGAGGAACAAGCTTTCCTTCATCAGGTAGTTAAAAATAGTAAGGGGAAAAAAATGAAGAATGGGAGGGTGAAAAGATTCAACTAGCAACGGGAATTAGAAAGACAGATATGTCTTAAGAAGTTTTGAAAAATATTCATGTGTTCTACACAAGTTTTGTATTCTAAAAGTTCTATGTTGTAGTTTTTGCTTATTTTTCTAATTATTTTTAGTAGTAGTATGATTTATAACCACTTCTTTTTAAAAAAGAATTACGAATCCTGTTTGTTCTGCTAGACTTTGAAAACTGTAGGTCCTTGAGACTGAGGACTTTTTGATTCCTGAGTTTTTTTTTCTAAATGCGGGTCTCTATTTAAAATAATACAAACTTCTAAATACACGGATAAAAAATAAAAATGTTTTATGATAAAAATGTGATTATTAATTAATTCTGTTTTAATAATTCAACATTGAATTAAAACTAAAATTTCTATGCCAATTCAACTCAAAAAATTATTTATTTTCATTTTCACTTTGTGCTGTTTTAAAGTTTTATTTAATTTTGCCTGCAGTTTTGCGCTATTTTTTATTTTTTTAAAAAAATTTTATAATGGTGAATTACATATTCTGAGTATTCCATGTAACTTTTTTCACATTCCCATTCAATTTTTGGCACAATTAGCGTGTTGTAGTGTTTAAGCGGAATTGCTTGTAAACTATTTAAAATGTTTTTTTTAACACAAATTCTAACTGCATGTTTTATTATTAACAAACTATTTTTGCTCTTTGCATAAGAGTGTTAATTTTCTTTTATCAACTTCTTCAAATACTTATGTTTTTATCATGGAGTTTGTGCTTTAAGTTTTGATATTATATTTTAGGTTGTATATTTTGAAAAAATTTCTCCAGTGGTATTTTGTTCAAAAAATTCGTAGAAATGATGAGAATTTATTTGATTTGAAGAAAAGAAAAAAGTCTCTTTTAGAGTTTGCAATGGAGACTGAAACATATAAAGTTGTGAAGGAATTGTTGGAAAAATATGATCCAGAATATCATAGAAAGGTAAAATGTAATTCCAATAATGTCAGTTTTGCTTTCATTTGCTGCTAATGACATGCAAAATGTCTAAAACAATAATCAACATTTGTAAAAATATTTCTAATTGCTTAAGCATTTGCATGACCCTTGAAGCAATAACTTACGAAATAAAAGCAAATATATCTGAGTTTTTAAACTCTGCAAACAAACAAGGTCGAGATAATTTATTCAATTTAATGAGTATGCAGCTAGCTTTGAATAGTTCGTAATTAAAATATTTTAATTAAACTGTAAATATATTAAATATAAATATGTTTATATTTTATTGTTTATTCTGTATATGCTATGGTTCCTTACATAATTTTGTTAAAATTTATACCATTAAAAACATCTATGCAACAAAAATACATCTGTAAAACATGTCTGTTTGTGTGCAACTAAACTCTACATTTAAAGTAAATTCCTTTGAGTGCTCTCTAAATTAATGAGAAACTTTGATACTTTATGTTTTAATGGAATTCAAACATTACCTAAGCATCTAGCAGACTTCTGCTTGCTTATTTTTGCAGACAAGTGGAAAATATAAGACATGATTAAAGAATTTGCTTGCTTATTTTTGAAGACAAGTGAAAAATATAAGATGTGATTAAACAAGAAAAAATTCCTTTAAAATTATGAAATCAATTACATTTGCGAAAAAAATTACATTATAAAGTCCAGTTTAAATGAGTGTATAAGGGTGATTTTTTTTAAACAGCAAATTAGTCTGCTAACATGGTTTTTCGAAGTTCTTTCGTGAAGGAAAATAAAAAAAAAAGCCACAATTTAAGTGTGTGACACTTGATTGATAAGTGCTTGACCCTTTTAAGTAACACTTGAAGCAAAGCTATAATTTTATATTGTGTGTACCATCTTGCTGTAAAGCATTATCTGGGCTTTAGAACAGACAAATAACTAAAATATTTTAAAAGTTATTAAACATTTTTAAAAATTGCCAATTTGACAACATTTTCCCACTTAATTGAAAATTATCAAAATCATTGCCTTATTTCCATCTTTTGCAAATTTTTAAGAGCCCAGATAATGCAGCATTGTTGTAAATATTTAAGTATTAAAAAATTTGACACACAAAAGCTTTACATTATCTCAAAACTGTGACTTTCCTCCATATTGATGTTTTGTGCCATTTTCAGAATAATGATAGAGGGCGCTGTCTAAAGATAGTCCAAACTTTACCTAACAGTCTTGAGTAACTGTTGCAAAATCACAGCAGTTATGCAAAAAAGCATCATTTCATGCTACTGCAGGGTCTTCAAAAAACAACCTCAAGTCTAAGGTCCCTAAGTATATGCTCATTTAATATTTGGAGATCCCTCAAGCACTTCAATTGGGCTGTTCACTTATCAATATATAGGCTATATACTATAGTTGCTTCACTGGTTATCTGTTTAAAAAAAATTTTCTTCCAAAATTGAGTTATTGTCCAATTTAACCACTCTAACAGCTTTCATTTTCCTCTGATAATAATTAACGCTAATTTTAGAGCTACAAGCTACTATAAAAGTCAACATGAACACAAAATAATGTAATTTTTTAAATTATTTTTTTTCAAACTTGTAAATGTTAATTTCTTTTATCTGAAGCTCACAAATATTTCATTATGTGTGTCATTTAAATGAAATTGGAATGAGGCTATTTATATTGACTTTCTAGCATAACTAATATTACTTTAATACTTTCAGGTTTTTGAACCAAGACCTGCAATTCAAGCAGCACCACAATTATATAGAGGTTCTTTTACAGAACTTGGTAACAATTTCTGCTTTGTAACTTTTTTGTTTTAATAATATTTTCTATTGATGTTTAAATGTTTTTGTTTCACTTAGCAGAAATCTTCCTAGAATTAATAAAAAAAATGGAGCTTCTCTTTCTGAGCTCCATTACTGTGTTAAAATTTTAAATTTAAAAATGTGTTTCTTCTCCTTTTTTTTTATATTTAAAGTAGATAAAATTCAGATAACAATATTTCCCTAACTTTTACAGCATTTGTATAGGCTTTGAAAAAGGTCTAAACTCATAAATCAATTTTTAATATCTTTAAAAATTGTATAATTTTCATTTTTGATTCACAGAATCGTGGTTACCTTTAGGTTTTTGAAATGCTCCATTTTTTTTTCTTTTGTTTCATATTTACATGTTCATAGCATTCATATTTTTTTGGTATCTTTCACAAGAGTTATTTATTGTTTTAGAAAGTTTAGTAATGTCAAAGTTGAAAAATTTAAAAAAGTTTTTTTTTTCTTTTTCATTCTACTTTTAAGCATGAAGTCTGATTTAATTTTTTTGTGCAAAAATAAAATTTTTTAAAGTATCTGTACAGTAAAACAAATTATCTAGTAAATGTTTTCACTCTATTTAATATATTTTTATTAAATAACACATATATTTGCTCGATTTATACCTTATAACTTTTGATTTCTCTAGTACTATTTTCCCTGAATCTAAATTATTTGTTAAATAAAATATTGTATTTATTAAGCTGATTTTCTTGTTTATATATTATTATTTTAGATTTAAGGCGTCGAAACACATCTCCTAAACAGCCATCTCCTCCTATAGCCTTAGGAAACACTGCTGGAAAAACGATTACAGTTAACAACACAGCAGGTGCTCCAAATATTTTTCCTATGTTTACAGCCAGACCCCCTACTAACCAACCTTACCCCCCTGCATATTTTCAAAGGCCTGGCCCAAGATTCGGTATGTTTGTGTGCTAGATATTTGACATCATAGTTTTGCATGCGTCAGAATAATTTAATTACTAATCCAGTACACTTTATGCATCTCTATAACGAATCATATACTGATAATTTTACTCCTTTTTTTACCAAAAATATTTAAAAATTGTATCAATTATCAGAATTTAATCTTATAAAATAAGTGATAATTGTGTCACTAATAGAATCTTTAGGATACCATTTTATTCTTGGAATGTATGTAACTGTGTCTAGTCTTAAGAAAATTTCTTTATATATATTTTTTTTTGTTGTTAAATATACATATTTCTATGTTGCATATGCTTTTTATTATTTATTGTTATAATATCTGTGATAAAAACTTACCCTCTTGAGTTTTTTCTTAGTATTTAAAGAAAATTTTTTAAAAAAGATTTAGACATTTAAAATTAGACATTTAAAAAAAAAATTTTTTTTAAATGCCTTTTTATTGATTTTTGCATGTATTTTTTTATTATTTTATTGTTTTAATACCTAACTGCTTCACTCTGTAATATCTGTGTGAATAACTAATTCTCTTGAGTTTTTACATATTATTTGAAGAAAAAAAAACATTAAGAAAAAGACTATGCATGCTTTTTATTATTTCATTATTTTAATATCTGTGTAACTCTGTAATATATGTGCCAATAGCTAATGCTCTGCAGCGTTTGCTTAGCATGTATTTATTTCGAATCAAAGACTATTTTTTAGACTTTAATCATTTAAATCTAAAGAATATTAACCTGTTGAGAGCTGGCTAAATATGAATTAGGTTTAAAATAAGTAAATAGGTGTTGAATGAAATGTCAGAATGGTGTTGGACAAATATCTTCTTCCTAATCCCCAAAATTAGCAGGGCTAAACAATGTCCATGAAATTCATGACCCGAAGAAAGTCGGTCACCAAAAGTGGGTTTTCTAGAATGTCCCTCTTGTCCAGTCCAAGACAGTCCAGGATATGTTGGGGAGAAGCCTGCATGTTGTGACACCTGGCGCAGTTTGGGAAGATTTTAGCGCTAATACAAATATAAATGTATTAAGTATTATAAACTTTGTTTTAATATGAAGCACTCATAAAATGTTGATCAAAAAATTCGATTCATATGGTAAATTTTTATTTAATGTTATAATTGAAAAAAAAAATATTCTTGATAAATAAGTTTTTGCATGAGTGGTAGATCCTTTAAATTAGGATTCAAAGTATTTTAGACTTCTTGATTTCCAATTCTATACTTAATATGTTATTAACTTATCTAAGTAATTTTTTAACTTGTTTATTTAATTAAAATAGGAAGTAAAATAAATGTAGAAATAATTCTATTCATAATGAATAAATATACTCATCAATGTTACTAAAATAAATGTAAAAGAAAATGCAGAGCTGTTTGAATATCAGTTTAAAACTAATTAAATTTAAAAATAAATTTTATATTCATGGTTGAATTTTTAATAATTTTTTTTACGCAAAGACATTTTTATGTTTAAAAAATTAGTTTTTATCAATTATACTCGTTGTGACTCAATATGTTATTTATTTGACTAAAAAAATTTTTGAAAAAATATCTATCTCTAAATTTAAAATAATTATTAGTTCAAATTTAACATAAAAACATGTTTTAATGCATGCTTTACATACATAGATATTTCTAAGATTTTAATTTTTACCTTAAACAAGTGTATACCAAGATTATGCTGCCAATTTTTACTGTTATAGAATTTCAAAATTTTGTGACTGGTGCCTTAATTGTTATTTTATGAAACCTTTGTCTTTTCCTGTAACAATAGTATCCAGTTAGACTTATTTGAATCTCAGTAGAAACAATATATATATTTTTTTTTAATTAATCTGAAAATTTAGTTGTAACAGTCTCTTACTCTAAATTTCAAAAATTCTACTGCTTGACTTCATTTAACTTCCCTATTGCATTTTGTAACTTCTGTCTTCGGAAGATTTTAATCCAGTATTATGAAATTAAGTAAGGAATTAAATTTGAAACTTGTTTAGGATTTTAGATTTTTGTAAACTTTTAATGTTGAACTTGTTAAGAACTTGGTAAGTTTGACCATGAATTCTGAGTTTAAATTTTTTTCCAAACAGGAATACTCTTGGACGCTTTTAGTATTATTTATGTATTTTTTTAATGTATTATTAATAATTTTTTTAAAATTGAAAACTGCATACTGTTTTTCCTTTTTACTTTTTATCTCCTTTTAACTAGATTGTACAAATTAATTGACTTACAGATCAGAAGAAATATTACCCTTAATGACTTTTAATCTAATGATCATATTTTCTCTTACTAAAAACAAATTTTAATTGCATAAATGATTGATTTTAAATAAGTTAACTTATTTAATAGCTAACTTATTGAATAAATTACAGAAACAGACATAAAAATGTACTTTTTCTGAATAAACATGCCTTATTTTCATCAGATTTTGAATCTTGACTTTGAAAATGTGTATGTAAAATGAGGGTGTAAGCAGCAAAATATTATTAAGAGAGGGATTGAAAGTTTGAACCCCAGAATGTTAATTTCACTTTTTGTGTATTTTACCTTATCTCGAGTTCAAAAAACTCTTGTATGTAATTATGAAATTTTTTTATTCAGAGACATTTCTATGTTAAATAATAAAAATAAAATTTATAATTATTTTATTTAGTGATAGTGAAGCAAAATTTGAATTAAAAGGTATATGGAGTTTGATTTTTCCCTAATACTTTCCAAGTTATAAAATTTCTGAAAAGCTGTACTTTTAGATTTTCATTTCTTAAGAACTATTTGATCAATTTTGTTCAAATTTTGTTTATGGCATTTAAAATTATATAGTTTGTAAGGTTGGGAAAATTTGAGTTTGAAATGGTGAATAAAATTTTATACAAAATTTAGGAAAAGTACTTTTGAGTCTATATTTGCTAATTAAGGATTAACAATTAGTCTGTGAAATTCCACTCATTAGAACAAAAGTTATTTAAGGCAAGCTTAGAAAAAACTGAGTTTTTCTTTTTCTAAAAAAAAAAAAGTTTAAAAAAAATGTTTCTCTGTGGTGTAAACCAGGTTTTTTTTCTTCGTTTGTTTTAATCATTCAAAGTGAATGGTTATATAATATTTTATACTCTAAATTAAAAGTAATTAAAAACTGTTTCATAAAAGCTTTTACAATTGTTAATCAATAATTTCAATAAATAATTGCCCATTTATGTTCCATGAAAAAAGAATAAATGAAAATTTTGAATATGCTGATATTATTAGTTTTAAATTCTGCTTAACGTTGAAGATCTAAGAGTTGTACTAGTAATGTATTTAAAAGAGTACGTTCCCCTTTGCTAGCTAATTATGTATAAAATGTCTTATTTCAACATTGTCATTCTTAAGCATTATAAAATTATAACATTAGTATAATTTAAAAAGGAAACTTGTTTTAATTTTTTTACTATTTTTTCAGTTATACTTAAACTAAAAGTATTGATATTAATTGGTTAAAATTTAAGTTTTTATCCATTATTATTAATTTATTAATATTAGGTTTTATTATTAATATTAAGTTTTTATTCATATTATTAAGTTTATAACATTGTTCTATGTTGTTACCTTTGGTATATTATGTCTTTTAGTTGGATGCGGTACTGCAGACTCTGACTTCTGTATATTAAACTCTGGAGAGAAGCAGAATGCTTATATTTCTCCCTCATTCTTATTTTTTCCTCACTTTTGTATTGTCTTTACTACCTTTAATTACGTATATTATTTTATGAACAATTATTTATTTTTTCTTACATTAATTTAGTTTTGTTTTAGTAGAATATAATATAGCTTAGAACTGGCAATTTTGCTATAAAATAATTCTAAGTAATCAAAAGTTTAATTCATATAATTATATAAGCTGTAATGGCACATTTTAAAGAAAAAATTATTATTTTTTTTTTAATAATATATTCACTTTAATTCTTCCTCAATTGATTTTAATAAAGTTTATCTATTAAAATCTATATAGTTGAAATATCTGAATTTAACCAGCTAAATTGTTCCCAGATAAGTCTTATATTTCAATTTAACTTTTGGCTCTTCTGGTTGAGAGTGTAAATTTCAAAAACATTGATAATAAATACTATTGTTTCATTTAAGTCTGGAAATTTTTAAATTTAAATTCGCTATCTTTATATTCTTCTCATAATGTAAATATTTCTTAAAAAAATCTATATGGTCAAATTGCTATTAAGCAATTCTAATGTTTCAAGTAAAGATGATTAATGTAATAATGTTAACTTCAAAACAATTTTATTCAAGCATTTTTTTTTTAGTGAGGCCTCCAATGCCACCTATGCCAAGGCCTGTTTTACCTCGGGAAAGGACCATAGTAGATCGCTTAGTCGATTATGTTGTGGGAGATGGTCCTTCAAATCGATATGCTCTCATCTGTCGGCAGTGCCTCTCTCACAATGGAATGGCTCTAAAAGAAGAGTTTGAGTACATTGGTAAGCTGTATCTTCCTTTCTGAGCTCTAGTTTATGCTTTATTTGTGTTTATCTTGTCAATTTGTTTTTATTTTTACTAGAGTTATTTTTCCTGTGAAGTAGAAATTCAGTAGTTTTTAGTTGATGATTACCATTTTATTCTATTTTATAACCCTCGTTGAACAGCCGACCCAATTTTTAGATTTACGACTACTAATGTTTTTAGATTTACGACTACTAACAAGGGAATTCCTGGATCAAGTGTAGGAGAAATCTGTCTTCTTTTTTTTGTTTTTTTTGTCAGCATACATAACTTAAGGTTTTAACCGATTACGGTTTGTTATCTCCTTGAAATTACAATCCTCACCAGTTAATAAATCAAAGCTGTTTTTTACTTTTGCTTTATCTGTAATACTCCGTATACATTATCCGTGCAAATCTTTATTTTTTCTGTATGTAGATGATGCCACTAAATTAAGTTAAAATATTTTGTTCTTAATAGAATTTTAATGCCAAAAGCTAAGATTGTCATGCTTTTCTTGAAAATCACTAAAAACTAATTCTATATTTTGTCTGTTTTGTATTGACTTGATACGAAAAAAAGTTAGGAAAAATTATTGATCAATAACTATTAGTTTATTTTTAAAATATATTTTTATCACAATGATAGTCTTTTCAGAAATCATGAAACTTGCAAATTGATTTCTCTAAAAAATAAAGCACGGCGTATTAAAAATATTTTAAAGCATAGTCTTCTTCATGAAATGTTCTTTCTTATGTGTCATGCTGCATTTTCTTGAAATAATGCAGTGTTATAAAATAATGCAAAATTTCTATATTTATTTTAATGTGAACATTAATTCTTAATGCTCCAATGAATAGCTTTCAGGTGTTGCTACTGTTTTCAATTTAACCCACCTAGAAATCAGCAACCACCCCCTCCAAAACTGACTTTGCCTGCTCCTACAGCTCCCCCAGCAATAGAAGCTCCTTTATCTGGAAGGTCATCTACTAGTGGGGGTAAGTCTATTTTTATTTTCAATTAAATGATGTCAGTGTGTTTGTGTAATAATTATATACTGATTGGTGTAACTTTTTTGTCCCCACCCTTCCTACATTTTTTGTATGTTTTGTTTTGATTACTTTTTTAGTATGTTCTTTTTCAATCATACCTAAGTAACTATCTCGCAAAACTGAATTTAATGTAATTCAATGTATCAATATTATTTACTAAGTATCAATATTATTAACCTAGCAGAAAATGAAATTATTTGCCTCTGTATCATTTGACTTTTTATGGAGAATATACAACTGCAAAGATGATTGTGTTCCGGGAAGAATCCGGATTTCCGGTTCTCTTGCCAACCTAGATCCAGAAATCCAGGGTTCAGAAGTTTCAACACATCATCAGTCACATTTATGTATAAAAATTCTTGTATATTTTATTTAAAAATATTAGAACTAGAATTTATACTTGGCATCTATTTTATTTGTAAATATTTTTTTCTTGCAGAATAGTAAATGGGATTCAAGATAAAAGTAAACTTATACATAATTATTAATTTAAATTATGCTGCATATAATTTAGAATTTTATGTTGTGAAATTTATAGAGACATTATTTTTTTGAAATGCGTCATTAATGATTTTCCTCAAGAAATGTTCAGCATTTTTGAGAAGGACTCACAATCACCCCAGCACTGTTTTTAAGAATTATTTCAAGTGTAGATAGGTGTTGTTAGTTGAATTAGTTGTATTTGGCAAAAGATAGTTTAAACTAGGTATGTGACAGATATTCACCCTATTCACCATATAATCAGCAATAGCCTAATTTTACAATTATTCAACATCAAATACAGCCTAAAATTATACCTAAGAACAAGGCACATCTGGCAAATAATTTTAACACTAAATAATTAGTAAAAAAAAAAATGTTTGTTTTAAATATTAAAATGGATGAGCTAGTTACAGAATTAAATGCACATTGATTGTTGTTTAAATAGTATCAACCTTTTCAGATGAAATAGTCCATTTATGTATTTATTCTTTAATATTCATAAAAAGCTAAATCCATGAATGGATTTTTTTATTAATTTAAAATGGATGAGCTAGTTATAGAATTAAATGTCACAAATGCACATTGACTGTTGTTTAAATAGTATGAACCTTTTCAGATGAAACCGATGCTGGGAACATTAGTGATAACGATAGTTCTCCTATCATTACACCGCAGGAAACGAGTGTTGCAGATGATAGTCAAGAATTTACTCATGATTTAACTAACCAAAGGCTAAGTATCAGCTCAGATGTATCTGAAATACAAGCTAACTTAGTTGAAGATTTACCCCAAACTTCGCCTGATAAAAAAGATGAAAGTTCGACTCACGAGGAAACATTTGAAGCAGAATCTTGAAAGTATCACTTGAGTGCTTGCTTACTTGCTGCCAAATTGCACAGAGAAATATTTTTTTAAATTTCTCAAAATAGCAAAAATCTTTTTATGAAATTTTTCACTTGAAGTGTTTGTTATGAAAACGTTTTAAAAAAAAGTAAATTATTTTTTCAACCTTTGCTACAAGAATCAGTTTAATCCCGTGTTTTTAACCTGACATTTATTTAATAATGGGGTAGGTTTTTCTGCTAGTGTTTTTAAATTTAGATACCTATTTAATTTTTAACTTTAATGTATATGATATAAATTTATTCTCTGCAGTAATATCATATTGTAAGGCTGCATTTGTTTAACGTCACTAAAATGTTTTTTTAATGCATTGAACTCTCGCTACTACGATATTCAATACAACAACTCCCTTTATTACAATAATTTTTAGTGGTCCCAACAAACTTGCATCTGAATCAATGTCATGCTCCTCTCAATATTACGATATTCTCTGAAGCAATAAACCCCTTTAAAACGATTTTTTTCTTCCAAATTTCAACTTTATTTTCTCCATTTATTATTTGTTTTCAAGTAATGTTTAAAAAAAATCTTATTTTATCATCTTTTGCCATCTTTTCTGACAAGACTAACTCCTGACCACCCCCAAGAGTTACATTCTTAGAATTGCCTCCCCAAACTCTTAAGAAATCACAGGTGTAACATTCCTATTTGATTTCATTTCCTTTATGATAAAAGCTGATCATGAGTCACAAATGACCACAAGCATCACATTAACACCTGAAAGAGAATTTTTTCTGTAGAGGGTGGGTTGAGTACCATGAACAAACGAAAATAATTTTCGTGTGTTGGCTTCAATGCATACTTTGTTGGTTGACTTGATAGTAAAAAGAAAAAAGAATAAACAAACAAAAATATCAGATTATTTTCAATAAAAATGGTTTTCAGGTATTTTTACAATTTAATTTCCGAATTTATTTCTGTTGTTTTTAACATTTAACCAAAATTAATACTCTGCAAATTAATTTTTTATATAATATATAAATATATTTATAGTTAATACATATTACACAGTAAAGTTTAAAAAAAATCTTATTGTGCCCCCAAAGTATGTAGGCCCTCGATATAACAATATGTCCCTCTATAACAATATATTTATTTGATCCCCAAAATATTGTTGTAGAGAGGTTTTACTGTATTTATTAACTTATGAGTATAGATGCAAAATTTATCTCTGTTTGCAATCTTAGTTTGTTATGTATTTTCTCATCTAGATTAAAAATAGTATTTATTTTTAAATTATAGTGTAAATAATTTAGCGTTGTTATTCTTTTTGTATTTTGATTATGAACATTTTATGTTTTCAGTTTTAACCTAGTTTATGATACAAGCGTTTCAAAAAGTATATGAGTTAAAAATAAAATTGTGTTCACAAAAACACAATGTTTCATTTAAGTATTTGTATCTTAAGTGAATGTCTTGTGTGCCACTTCAAAATATTTCAGGAATTCTAATCTCAGAATTTTAATAGAATGTTTTTTATCCCATGTTATTAAAACATGTATTTATTAGTACAAAAAAAGATATTCATCGTTTATTACATGTAGAAACCACTAATTTAAAAAAAATTATGAATCAATTTACAAAAACTGCTTCAAAGGTTTTTAAACTTTATAAAAATACTTCATTATGTGTTGATAAATAAGAAAAGGAAATTATAGGTTCATATCAATATTAAATCATTGCAATTGTAATATATTTATGTATCAGACAAATACCTTTAATCGATGTTTTATGTGTCACATAAATAAACTGTTTCCTTTATTTAAATCTCAGAATCAGTATTTATTGTTACAATAATATTTTATTCATTATGAATAAACTAATTTTTAGACATTTATTGTTACATAACATTTAATAAATTTTTTTAAGTTAATACATAATAAACATAAATATGTTATATATAACCCAAATATGATATTTACTTTTACTTATTAAAATAAAATATTTTGTATTCCAATAAATGAAGAATGGATAATTATTTTTATTAGTATTTTCTATACCAGTTTTTATATCTAATCAATAAAGTATTTTACAGTAATGTGAGTAAATATTTATAAAAGATGCAAGAATTTTTTCTTTTTCAACTATTTGTGTATTTTTTATAAATGTGTCGAATCCAAACTAAAATTCTTTAAACCCACTTATATTGTATTTTGTGAATTTTTATTACAAATCTTGTTTTCACATTTTTAACTTACATTGTTAACTATTTAGTCTATTTTGTGAAGCTTACCTTATGAACTAATGGTGAATTACTAAAATACCTTACAGTTTGTTTTTAAGACTTTTTTTTTTTTTTGGAAGTTCTGTCATCACTTGAATGCTTTTTTGCAAATTTTATGCTGTTTTCAACTGATGTGCCTTTGTAGCAGTTATTCATGACTCTTAGGTTAAGTGTAGCCTATCTTTAGCCAGTTGCCACTATACTAACTCTGTTAATGAATGAGTTTGTGAATTTGGCAATAGGCCACAGTTTTGTGAAAATGAAAAATATTTTATTTTGTTTTATTTAAAAAAGTTACTCTAGTGTTGCATTATCTGGGCTCATAAAAATTATCATCTAGGTTGAAAAATCTCGCTTTAATTCAGTATTTTAAAAATGTTTAATAACTTGCAAAATATTTAAGCTATTTTTCCCTTTTAAAGTACATATAATTTTTTTATAGCAAATATATTATCGATATTTTTAGCTGAGAATTATAGCTTTGCCTCAACCATAATATACTTAAACTGTGGCTTTTTTATTTTATTTTTTTGAAGATAAAGCTTTGAAAAACACTTAATAATTTAGTAACAAAAGAAAAAATAATTCTTGGGAAGTTTTATTATTTATTTTGATAATTTTATTTTTAAAAGTAAATCCTATTTTAAATGCATTCAGTGCCCCTTGGAGTGGAGTTTAGAGCTGAGATTGACAGATCAGTTTAATAATTAGTTACATCATTAGATCTTTGATTACTTAATCATTATTTTGTTTGTTAACAACTTGCTCAGATTGGATGTTTATCCTTTATTGAAATGTGTGTTCTAGTTATGTTAGAATAACTATTTATTCTTTTGTTATTTTGTTGTCATTTAAAAAAAAAAAAAGACTGTTTATTTTTGTCTTATAAAATGTTCTTTGTTGATTGATTGTGCTTTTCCGCATGTAATTTGAATATACTAAAACATGTCTCAAACTGTTATAATTCTAATCTATTAATTAGCTATAATTTCAACTGGATTTTCACTGCTTCCCCTGGTTACCTGATTTGATCAAAAATTTCCCTGGTATTTATTTATTCTTTAAATTTTCCTTAATAGTTGGGAAAGGTCTAAAAAAAATCCCTGCAAATTCTTGACTTTTATTTTTTTTACTTTTTTCATTGAAAACTCTCTGTTTTTAAATTAATTCAATAATGTTAACTAAAATTAATTTAATGTATTGCTGCAAATTTAAAGTTGAAGTTTTTGATGAAATGTGTGTTTTACCTTTATTTTTCTTCTTTTAGTTCACAAACAATTTATGACATAGCTTTTGTTAAAATAATGCCAAAAACTAATGTCAAAATCGTAAATCAATCACATAAATTGCCTGTATTGAATTGTTGATGAAATAGTTAAAAGTCTCTAAATTGGTTAAATGCATTAGTGTTACCAGTTTAAAATTTCTTAATCAAATCTTGCATACCCAATTCTTGTATTAATATGTATTCACTTTAAGAAGATGAATAAAATTTTTATTAATTTTTTTAAATAAGGAAAATGCAAAATATTTGACAATTATGTTTTCCAGAAATTAGATATCTAATTTATGTTGTTTATGCCAAAAGTACCCGAGTGAAGTTAAATTTTTTCCCCCGATGGAACAATGTAACATCAGAAGAAAATGAAGTAGCAGTGAAAAGATAGAATGTAACTAAAACTTTAGTTTAATGCACTGTTCTGGTATGTATAACCAATATAACAAATTTTTTTACACATTAAAACACAGTTTAAAAAGAATTTTTAATTACATATTTATTTTTATACAAATGAAATTTGCTTTTAAAATTACTTTTAAATCTATTCTGACATGACTAAATTATTATACTGTTTTGATACATAAGAAATGCAAATGAAATTCTAGACTAAAATAACATAATTAAAGCTCAATCAATCATGTGCAGTGTGATATTTTCAAAAAATTCTGAGATTAAAGCCTCCCAATTTTTTCTTTTTGTGTTGTTCGTTTAATTTGAATATTGTCTATAAAAGTAATACAGTCTTATCCCGCTATAATGAACGCATGGTACAGTGAACACTGTTTTGTAGTGGAAGATTTTTAGTGAACCCGTCTGAACAATATGCAATTATTTAAAATTACAGAAAATTATTTAGCTATTGTTATTTCATTGCTTAAAGGGAACAGCTGAGAAATTGGTAGTTCATTTATAATAAACTCAAATTTCCTTTTTACAGGTCTTTGAATATATAAATGCTTTCTTTGTGTCATAAATTCAAAAGTATAATATGACTTCTAATTAAAAATAAAGCAATACGCATTATGAAGGAATGATTAAAATAAGTCATTTTGTTAGAATGAATGATGCAAGTGGTTCCATCAATATGTACATGGGAGAAAGAATTAAACACACAAAATTGCAACAGATTTTAAATGTGAGTTTTTCAAAAATAATTGATAAGCATCTGAAAATGAAACATGGTACGTAGCATTTTTGAACGGTGCTTATTTTCGTTTTTTAACAGTGCTTTTTTCATTGGGTGTTTTTAAAAAGTGCTTAATTTTTCCTTTTCGAAACTAAGATTTTTTTTTTACCATGTCGATTTTTGCCACATATTATGCAAAAGCGCGCTTTTCACATTGTTCTATTCGACGTTTTCACAATTCATTCAACCGCAATCTATTTTGGCATACTGTCGGTCCATAGCGAATGAAAGCTCCAATAATTTTACATGTTTGATTAAATGCTTGCGGGCTCGCATGTGCGTCTACTGAGCTGGGTTCGGTGAGATTATTGCACTCTCGTGTGCAACTCTGCTGCATTTTGCGAGATATTCTCAATTTCAGGCATTATTTTACACCCTCTGATATTGAACAGAAAAATCTCTTGATCATTCTATAATGGCTAATTTGATCAAGAAAAGAGTTCATCATCAGAAACTAGTTATTTTATCATGATCATGTTAAATCTTTTAAAATTATTTTGTTAGTGTATATAGTGATTAAAAATATTTTTTAAGTGCTTAAAAGGTGCTTATTTTTTGTTGAAAGATTTGACTACGCACCCTGTGCAAGCAATAGGTAAGCTTTTTTTTTTCTTCGATTGATAAGCATCTAGAAAATAACAAAAATCGAAAAGATAATGCCTAAGAACTTCGTTGGAGGAGACTATTTTGAATGTTCTAATTAAAAATTTAGCTATCGGAAGAAATTCGCTATTAGGAAACTTCATTGTAGACTGACTCTACATATTTAACTAATTAATTTATAAAGCAAATGATATTATAATCATTATTTCCAACCATACAACCACAATTTATTATAAAAGATTTTTGATCTAGTGTATGATTGTTTGTAGTGGACTTGTAGCTGAGTTTATATAAACGGTTCACTATAGCGGGGTCACACTGTGTTTGAGATCAAAGTATTCTGCACTGTATAATTTAAGGTACTTGCCATAAATTTAATAATATCATATTATTTATTCCCTTTCATTTTCCTTAAAAAAAATTACCTCATTTAAACTTGCAAAACAATAAATTATTAAAAGTGGATTGTTAATAATTTGTTTTTTTGCTTGTCTGCTTGTTATTCATTATTTGCAGTTCATTTTATTTATGTTAACATGTATACAACTTTCAAACAATTGTTTGGTACCTTGTATAAAATAACAGCGCGTCAGTTATGTGAAGAATAATAAAAATTTTAATGAATGTGGTGGTCTAGCCTGTATTGCTATTTTTCCACTAAGAAAAAACTTATTTTATCTAAAGACCAAGGCCCAGATTTTGATTTTGATGATATTTCCATTTTTCAAAACTTTGCTTTTTTAGTATTTTTTTTAGTTACTTTATTTTGGGGCATTTATTTTTTTGAATTTATTAGTATTTTTTTTTTAGTTATAAGATTTTTAAAAAAATATTTTAGAAGTACTAGCTTTTTCATGCACTTTAGCTCTGGTAGAATTTCAGGAATAACCTGAGTGAGCTTCGTTTGATTTTCAGTTATAGTTACGAAGGAGGGTAGTTTGTTTTTAAAAAAGTACCTAAGTCTGAAGAACCTAAGTCACAACAATAATCGTGTTTGTTTTTTTAAAAAAAATTGCTTCCGTTCAATATTGCTCTATTCCCTAACGCTCACAGTGTCACAAAAATATTTTAAATATTAAATTCCCTTTGTCCAAATATCGAACGATATTTAAACAATTTTATTTTAATATTATCTATTTGAAAGAAGAAGTTGGATGCCTTTTTCAGCTGTTTTTCAAAGAGATGTTTAATTTTCTTTAAGATTCATGTTACATGTTTCAAATTTTCACGACTTATAGAGCCACAAACAGTTCATTCAAAAATAGAAATACAGAGGAAGAAAAAAACAAAATTTTTGAGTGAGAAATTTCATAAACTAAGTAATTATTTTTGCAATTCAAATTTTAAATGAAATAATTTATTCTAATTTTTGTACATTTGGACTAATATTGATAAAGCTTACACTGTTAAGATTTTTTAAGCAAGAAAGCGCAGCTTAACCCTGTCCCGCCCCGTAGGGGGGCATCCAGGTGATACTGAAGACCTTGTGCGCGTACGTGACCTGCATCAGTAGAGAATTGGCACTTTGGCTTGGCAACGTCGGGGTGGCAACACTTACATCGACGGGGAGGTCCGCAATCTGGAGCACAGTGTGATGACGGGTACCAGGATATTAAAATGTAAAAGCGAATTTTAAGAATTTGGATAGTCCGGCTGCTGCACGCGCAGAGCAACCACCAACCCACCATCTACCGACCCGCCCCGTCCCAGAAGGCTGATTTATTGATCAAAAAGTGTCAAGAATGACAGTACAGAAACACACATACAAAAAAACTGCAAATGTTACAAACAAGTATTATACAAGTTCAGTATATCCACCAATAATCTATGTACATTTTCTATACATGTTTATAAAGTAATTATTGTGTTGAATTTTACAATTTCGTTTAACTCATGAAATATCACAACGCGGTACATATTTGCATTGACGTTGTAATGTATATAAGGCTATATCTAGGTATTTTAAGTTGCAAATTGTTCCGACGCATCCATGGAATTACCAAAACGAATACAACAGAAACACACATGATTTTTACAATTTCGTTCACAATTTTGCCCACAATTTTGATCACAAGTGTTTCAATGCATAGTATCATTATAATACAGTTATTTTAAGAAAAAAATACAAATCAATTTACAAACATCAACAAACAGGTTTCTATCAATAGCCACGAACACACTATGTATATTTTATGCGTGTACTTACAACTATTATTTTGAAGAAACTTGAAAATTACATTCAGTGACTCTTGTTAACAATTTACCCTCAGTTATGTTTACAAGTGTCTTCATATTTTACAGTAGCAGTACATTACATTTCCATTGCAATACAGATATTTTAAAACATTAGTACGAATCTATTCAGAAATATCCCACAAGCAGGTAACAATCATTATATGCACAAATATACTATATACATTTTACGTGACATTACAGCAACAATACAAAATTATATTATATTTACGTTATTTACATTATAAAACAATTATTTGATAAATATAGTACAAATCTATTTACAAAAATCACACATACAGGTATCTAACAAGAAATACACAAATATTCTATATAATAATATAATATACATACATAATATACTCAATTTTACATAAAATCATTAATAGGAAGAAACGTAGACAAATTTTCCGTAGTATATAACGCATTTTGTATTAAAGTATAAAACGTGTTCTGACACTTTAAGATTTGATAAAAATTCGTAATATAAAATGCGAAATGTTTGAAATAATTTGTGTAAAAGTTTAAACTTAATTTTACATCTTAAAGAATGCAAAATACAACATAGAAAAATCATTAATAGAAACACCGAATTGATGTTTCATGGGAAAAAGCAGACGATTTTAAAAGTTTCCGAAAACATCTGGCGTCAGCAATTTCTAAATTTTTTTTCTTTTTTGTATATTTATTTTTTTTTTGTTTGGCGACGATTGACTGTAGTGGTTAATGCTGTTTAATAAACGAACGTGGTCATCTGTAAAAGACATTTTTCATGATTAAAATTCTATTTTTTTTGGCTGAGTGCGTTGTACATGCTTAATGTTTCTGCTCTAGAAAAGTTTCGTTACAGTACAACAATTAAATGTTATTGGTTAATTTGTGATGAAATTTCATTATTTGGAGGAAAGGACGAACCACTGGTTTACGCTATATTAAAAAATGGTGACGCTTATTAAGATTGTACGGTTCGTTAAATCAAAAATATCATACCAAAATTAAGGAGGATATCACGAAAGTGAAAAATTTTCAAAAATGATTGACGATTGTTTTGTTTGGATTCGAATAAAAGAGGTGAGTCCTTGTTTTTTTTTTTTTTAAGACAAAGAATTTGATGACTAAAGAATATTGATTTGTTTTCAGAATTAGGCCAATTGTGGATTTATTAAAAAAAAGTTGTTCACATTCTGTTTTTATTAAGTCAAAGTTGTTTCATTATTAACCCCTTAACGGTGACATTTATTTCAGAAAAATTGACCAAAAATGGAATTTTTTTTTTGACTGTTTAATTTTGTTCGTTTTATTATTATAAAAGTTAGAAAATGGTTTTTTATTGCTAAAATAACATTTTAAATACAATAACTACTGTACTTATAATTTTTACATGCACATAAAAAAGTTGTGGTTATACACGCACATATTATTCAATTCGAGCAAATTAAACAAAATTTTGAAGCTAAATATAATATAACTAGTATAATATAATATAAAATCACAACAATATGATTTTCAATACATACAGTTTACAAATATTTTACAGTATGGTATATCCCACAAACCCCACCCACATTTCCCTCCCTCGACTGAAGACGTAATCGGTGAAAAACTTGGACCACTAATGCCATCTATTAGGAAAATAGCAAATTAAGTATCCTAAAGTAGAAACGAACACAGTTCGGGCTTCACAAAATAGAAACGTTAATTTTTCTCCGAAGTCAGTTCGGGCAACACAAATAATGCACGTAGTAGTTGCCCTAACTGGATTCGGGCAACACTGGCAAGGGGTTAAACTGTTCTTCCGTTTTTAAATACTCATTGAATGCTTATTTTCGATTACTATGTCAATATTATTTCATTGTGATCACATTTTTTAGTTTTCTCTTCAATTTTCATAAGAATGTACCTTAATCAACCATGTTGGCAATCGCTGTTTTATTTATAATTTTTATTTCCTAACTTTGATTGTTTGAGTTTATAAATTGTAAAATAATTTGCTTGCAATTTTTAAAAAAAAAATTTTAGGCTTTTTTTTTTGTTAATAAAATTCTTTAGTTTTTGAATAGTAAAGAAATTTAAATATAAGTTTTATAAGATAAGTTTTATATTAATTCAAAATCTTAATNACTAAATAAACAACAACTAAATTCCATTCGTTTAGCATTGCGTCATATGTTGTTCCTACTAAATCGAAGTAGTTGTGTTTTTTTCATATTATACCCAATTGTAAAGTAATTTGCTTGCAATTTTTAAAAAAAAATATTTTAGGCTTTTTTTTTTTGTTTTTTTGTTAATAAAATTCTTTAGTTTTTGAATAGTAAAGAAATTTAAATATCATAAGTTTTATAAGATAAGTTTTATGTTAATTCAAAATCTTAATTTTTAATTGCAGTTGTAAATTATGCCCTTCCGACATAATGTGGTCTTATGTTGACGTTTGGGTGACGTCACCAAAGACGGATATACGTCGCAGAAGTCACATGAGACTTCACAAATCAGTTTCCGTAACTGTCGCTTTTTCTTCTTCTAGTAACGTTGCCATTTGGGTAATAACCTTCTAGCAGCTTATATCCGATAAATAGATTATCGTTCATTTTTTTCCCATCACTGTTTGGGTCCGATCACTGGACATTAGATCACAGAAGACAAGCATCACTGGCAGCTGTCATTGAGCTTGGGGGTGACCACTTTGACCAGCCTACAAAGAGGCCGAGGGTGTGCAGTATTGGTCCTCTGTTCTACCGTGAAGTGCTTGACTTCGCACGCTGGTCAGCTGACTACCAAGGTACGGGAGCCATCTCATCTGTTTAGGATTGAAATTGTGATGGTATGCCCTCGGAACATCTTCAAGGATATTTCTCTGACTGACGCCAATAGCCTATTGTGCATCTCTAATGTAACGTAAATTAAGTACTACTACTACTATAGCCCGGTTTGGGAAAGTCACTGTGACTAATGTAATGTATATAAATGAGGGTTTGGATTCCTCTGTTCTCTTTTCAGAGCTATAATTAGCTGGTTTTCCTTTAATGGATGACAACGCATTGCCACTAGTCGATGTTTTTATGAAAAGGGAAGATACTAATTTATCTTATAACTGTCGTTCAACAGTCGACCCAATTTTGAGTTTACGACCACCAATATTTAACACCGTTGCCTAGTAATTTTGAACCCAATCCAGAAGACAAGGGAGCTCCATGGATCAAGTATTGGAAGAAATTTGCCTTCATGGAGGACTTTTTCATGAAACTAACCCGTATTTGAGTTACATGGAGAGGATACGGTAGCCTGACAGCAAGGTGGACTCTAACCCATGATCCGTCTACCACTGAGGATATTTTACGTCAGCACTGAGGTTGGGGGAAGTCGAGTACGGAATTCGTATCGACGAGCCATCG